CACTATCACAGACCGGACGGCTGAGGTTTACCATCCACAATGTTACTGTACATGACGCTGGTACCTACTACTGTCACTTTGGCAATAAACATATAATACCTGGAAGTAGACAGATTCTCGTTGTATCAAGTAAGTATTACATGGGGTAAACAGAATAACATGTAAAAACATGTATAGGTATAAAACTGCAATGCCGTAATTAATCACAAACATGAACAAATATCCTTGAAACGATTATATTGCTAGTGTCATTAGCAGTAGGACCCTAGCGTTGTGTGGGAACTTAAACATTAAGACAACAAAACGTTAAGGAATATTAGGAAAGGAGATGACACTACTTCATGTTATAACTATGGAGCACTGACACTATATTATCTGGGAACTTAAACTCAACAGGTCATTCATGATAATTAGTTTCGAATGCCACAATAAAAACATCAACACATTACAATAAAACCTTGTTGATTGGCATTCGTGTTACGATTATAGTAATAGGGTTGAATATATAAACATAATAATAATTTAACAGGGAAGCTGACCAGACCTAACGTCACAGGACCTGCTTCATCTGTATCAGGTGAGAATGTCACCCTGACATGCTCCTCCTCCTCCCGGAGTCTCCCCCCGGACCATCCCCCACTGACCATGACCTACACCTGGAGGAGGAACAGGACCTGGCTAGATTCTGGTGACGGGTCTCACACAGGCGGAGATGTCCTGACAATAACCCACAACAGCAGAGAGAACCATGGAGACATCTACACCTGGAGGAGGAACAGGACCATGCTAGGATCTGGTGATAGGCCAAATACAGGTGGAGATGTACTGACAATAACCCACATCAGCAGAGAGAACCAGGGAGACATCTACACCTGCCAGGCTGTGGAGGAGGGGCTGGAGTCTGACTGGAGTCACGGACATGTACTGGAGGTTCACTGTGAGTAAGAACTTACCTTTTTTTAGGGTATAAGAACGAAGTATACATTATCTTTGCAACTGTGGTTCTCAAAAACAGTTTTGTGAGAACAGTTTTTGATGAAGTAATATGTACTGTGAATAAAAAATCTTCATGTCCTGAATTATGTTGGTAGACCGGATAAAAGACACCATATTATTATAGTATGTTGGCGGACTGGATCGGAATTAAAGATACTGTAGCCAAAATGAGTCATGCTAAGTTTCAGCTTCATGGACCCAACAGTTTCAGTTTCTAAATATCGAAAATGCATGATCACTATGAAAATACACAGTAAAAGCACTTTAGCTCACCTGGATATGGAGTTAAGAGTTTTAGATATCAACAAAGACACACTCAACACTCAGCAAAATTACAGAGGATAAAATAACTAAAGTATATAGATTGAACGAAATATGATTTCATCAAAAGAAGATGCTTAAGTTCATTAAGTTCATTCAAGGTGTTTTCAGAATGGAACTGTTTTCTGAAGCATTTGTTTCCTTGTACTGATTTCAAATACTGATAGTTTACAATATGGTAAATTGTTGTTCCTAGAATATCTATAGCACGTGTTGAAATTCTCGGAAGAAAAGATATATTCTAAACAGATTTCTCGGTGGCTTGGTTACTATGCTAAATCGTCTTCCAAATCGTCTTCTACACCTCTCCAGACACGACTCATCTACATGTATAAGATTTGATAGAAATCTTGTCACTGAACATGTGACGTCAATGGCGTCGTGCTCTTCCTTTAACACTTGTGATTAGCTTGGAGGCATTCACTTGGCTGTTCACAGTTCGACCATTGTGTGTTGGTCCTAAACTAAGCGTCTATGCGTGATACTGATCTGGACGTCTTACCTGTCTTCACAGTATACTACGATCACACCACCTTTAAACATTCTCGCGTTACGAATGAAAATACCGTAGCCAAATTTTTTAAATGAACCTTTATTTGCAATGTTTCTGATTAGATCTCTAACCTAATATTGACTTGCCATTTGTGCGCTACTGTCATTATTTCTCACCAAATGTAATCCCGTTTCAAAGAAAGGAAAACATTTGTTATATGTTGACTATCCAATTCTATCACATACGTCCTGCACCAGCATACTCTTAAGCAACCCTAAATATTTAAAACTGATTATACTGTAATAAGATGAGATGACTGTCAAGGTCAAGGTCACTATTGAAATCATCATGCAAAGTGTGTATAACCTCAATATTTTATGATCGGGTATTCCCTTAACTAGAAACACTGACCTTAATTGATCGTGGAAATTACAGCGTTTCCTCTTTCTCAACCCTTCACTGTACCTCTCCTTTTCATCGCTCTTCCCAGAAGCCCAGACGTCTAAGGCCCCGCAATTCGCTGTGCAGAGTTGCGCTCCTTGGGCACGGCAGAAACCAATGATTGTTGGTTCGATTATGTTATGATCCCGGGTTCCCGGGTTCGTTTCCCTGATATGAGTATTATGTTTTTATGTTGATCAACACAATAACCCATGATCGTTGATCTCATCACTTCTGTCTTTTTCCACTTAATAAAATGACACGACATGATACATCACTCACTCACTCACTCACTCACTCACGCACGCACGCACGCACGCACGCACGCACGCACGCACGCACGCACGCACTCACTCACTCACTCACTCACTCACTCACCATCCTACTACTCCCTCTGGTACAACATTGGCCCATGTCACATGTGTATTTCCAGTCGTCACACACATGTCACAGAAACAAACCGCACGTTTAATTCGCTATTAACACATATGTTACAAAACCAAACTGTACGCGTACATCACAGTTTTCAGGATCAGAACGAACCGTTATCACGTTCAGTAGCATTTTCCGTTGTTAGTTGGTGATACAGTGTGGAACTACTGGCCATAGTACATCAAACATTTCAGATGGACCTGACCAGATACAGTTTAACCGTACAAGTTGCAGGCTAAAGGCAGACGAAGGGCAACCTATCGAGGTGAGATGTTCTGCTGACTGTCAACCCGCCTGCACTGTGACCTGGTGGGACACATCCAGACGCGTACAAGTGATCACGGGACAGAGGGAGGCTGTGTTTTATATACCAGCTGTAGACAGATCTGTGTCTGGACAGTACATCTGTCACGTCAACAACATACATGGGAATACATCACGGAACCTGACGCTGGACGTTTTCTGTAAGACTTCTACAACATTGCTGGTGATAGACAGAATCTGTAACATTTATTTGGATAACTCCTGTAATGACCAATTTCATTTTCATTCATTTCAACTTTCTCTAAACCCACAGAGATGATTAATCATTTAATCAGGTAATATTGACTATATTCTGATGATGTGACATCATGTCAATGTGATTCTTTGGACTACTTGAAATGGCAAAGCGTTTCTATTCATTCAAAATCAAATAAACAAAGATCTGTATTAAAGACAGATATCGATTGCATCTACTCTAGGCCATGATTTGGCAGATGACCACATTACCACAAACGAACATTTCAGAAGCACTTCCAATTGCAATTCAAATATTGATCTTACTTTATTAACGTTGCTGAATAACGTGTCGCGGTTTCTACATTATTCCCAGCAAGTGTGGCAGTATATTACAGGCGGAAAACATGACGTACAAATACTTAGAGAGTGTAAAGAGCTATTGCTTTCGGTTTCGAATAAAAAATTCAGGTATCAAATCTACTTTGAAAAGCTCTATATTAAACACACACTAGGTTTATCTCCTAAATTTGATATGTGACGTGAGTGGTTGTGTGCACATAAACCAGGCAGTGTAGGTCGTTGTTCACATTATTGACCACTGGTTCCTTGGTCAAGATATCAGAAACTGACCTTCTGTTAGATTAACTACGAATGAGTCGTGTATTCACCTAATCGACTCATGTCAACAAAAAAATTTCTTTTCTGACTGCAAACTGTACACTATATATTCTGGGTTTAAAGTTATTCATGAAGATTTAATGCAATAACGATATGTGATGTGTATAGTTAGGGTTGTGTGACGTTATGCGAAAATCGTTCGTCCGAGTCTCAGTATTAAAGTAAAAGCTTTCAAATGAAAATGATATTGATGAACACGAAATACGTGAAACATAGAAGACAATATATAGTTGTTGTTACCCTAAGTCTCATCCTATAAAACCATCATGACAATGACGGTTTGGTGATATTTGATATTCAGCATTAGTCACTGTTAAGGATCAAAACCAAGTTGTGTGAGGAAGGGGAATCTGACACCAGCGTTTGAGGAAGATTATCATTACTGTGATTATTATAAGCTTTCATTCTCATAAAAACAGTGTGTCAGTGAAGAGATGTTGAAAATGGAACACAATGACATAAGCTCACTTGTAAACGTAGATGAGGTGATGAGGTAAAATAACGGCAACTGGACTTATATATTCTTGACATTGTCAGCTTGACTCTCCCTTCATTCAACCCCATATTGAGTAATTTCCAATATAACCGTCAAGGTATGCATTAACTAATCATAAACAGTATGACAATAGAAATACGAATCAAATGACTTAATGAAAGAGCAGCCGAGATAGTTTGAATTTTGTCATTTATAATGTAAAATGATTTGAATTTATTCCAGCGAATAACCCGACAGTGTTTGAAAATGTAAATTAAATTTCTATTATTATTTTTATTCTCTCATTAAACCCAATATGTCATCTCAGCATTTCATCTCTCTAACATAATTGTCAACATGAAAGAGTAGTCGAGATAGACTTATATTTATTTCAGGTCATTCACATCGGCTAACCATTCTTTGTAGTTGTGATAGAAAAGATTATTTGAAACTACAATGCCGGGCTTGTTTGGGTGTTTACACTGGCTACATAGAACTTCTTTGACGCGTTTTTTCTAAAATTTGGATAAACAGACACATGTTGTGCAAAGTTCAAATTATTTATTATTATTTCAAAGGTATGTAATAATACGAGTAATTAGTTGATCCGTTATTTTTCTTGAAATCTGTATACATACTTATCTACACATAACTCTAACTTTCAGAGAGAGGACACATTCATAACCAGTGAGTATCTGCTATCTATCAAGTGAGGTGGGTAAATAGTTCACCTAAACATTGCGATTTCACCTTGCGTGGCTAACGGAATAAAACTGTATCTATGCAATTTGGAACACAATCTAAATTGATTGTGTCACAAATTATCTGCTTGCTAGTTGCCTTGATTAGTTCCTTCTATTCCAATCACTTTCAACATTCCTTTCCCTCAGCGTGGTCGCATATACCCGGGACGCTGAAACAGACGGGAGCTACCAGGAAATTGAAGGTTGGTGGCGTAAGTCAAAATAAGTATTTGAAAAGAAATTTCAATTAATTTGGAAGACGTTTCTTAAACTTTTAAAGTGGTCATCACGAAGCATTACATGTACCACTGTTGATAAATAGTGCTTGCTTATCCTTTAAATGATTTGGATAACGCTTGAGTCACATATCATTGTTGAAACTTTTTACCATTAGTTTGAAGCTATGCAATGATAAAGAGTCATATGTTGTTCATATACCTATATTTACTGCAGAACATTGTAACTTTCAGAGAGAGGATACATTAATAATCGATGAGTATCTGCCATCGATCCTCTAGTGAAGTGAATAAATAGTTACACTCTACGCAGCGATATGACTTTGCATGGCTATGAGAGTGAAACTATATATAGTTTGGAGCACAATATAAATTGATAGTGTGATCACAGCATATCCGTCCGAGATCATGTTTAATATTCTTATTCATTTCCATCAGCGTGGTCTCATATATCCGGGATGAGGAAAATGAAGGGAGCTATCAGGAGATAGAAGGTTGGTGTTTTCAGGTTATCTACTGGTATTATAGTGTAATGACCGCGCAACTCGAACTGATGTGCATGGTACTCTTCTAACGACTTCAATCCATCTAAGTCAATATATTTCCCTTCTGAAGCCGGGAAGCTTAGACTAAGAGTCAAATCAAATTCATCCCAACAGCAGACATCCTTTAGTTATATGTATTTTTACTATTAAAAGCCATAATATATTTTAATGACACTTCTGAAACATAGAAATGAGCCATCATGAAACATTACATGGGTTATGTAATACGCCATGTTTGAGAAACCAATCCGTGGGCCGGGATAACGGTCATAGGCATTCTAGTAGTTGGTGAGTGAAAAACAAAACATACAACTTTATGCTTGACAAATTCTGGTTTATTTCATTTAGCGACGTTTCGATGTAGAGTCTTACACCATTTCCAGGCTGGAGTGATGAGGAACAATCGATTCCTCATAATTGCTCATTGCTCGCTTCTCTTTTTGCAATTTTATGTGATGTAGTCAGGGTTTCCTCAGCTTAAAAAATAGGGTTCGTAGTTTGCTAATTGTTCCAGGTTATCCCAAGAGACAGTTTGTTCCATGGACATTCCTGATATCCCATAATTAAAATGTATATTAACATAAACATTAAATATTAGGTGGTTAATCTCCAGTGGTTGCAATATGGTAATGCATGGTTGGCATTCTCATGAGAATTATCATGTTGAGTATACATGTGAGTAACCTTTGTCTTACGCCAGAAGATGATGTGAACGTAGACGACATCGTCCCTATTGTAGCCGTCTACTCTGTTATACTCACCGCTGTGACAGTTGTTGTTGCAGCAGTTGCTATTGTTGGCTGCAAGGACGTGAAAGGTGAGTAAACAAATAACTCCCTTAAAATGAAATCAACCATAAGTTCACCTTTTTAAAATATCTAGAAACGCCGAAGTCTTGGGTTCGTCAGCCCTGTTCGTATTTTGTAAAGGAAAATTCATTGCAGAAGTCTTATTCGTTATATAATTTGACAAGTTCAACCTTTCTTTACTTCCAGAGGGACACAGCTTAAGGTACATGCATTTTATTATGTTTCGGGTAAATTGACAGAGTTTGTATGCTAGATCTCAACTATTGATTAACTGCAATTAGGACAAGCCCCAACTGAACCACTTGTTCAGGTGCTTTCTATTGTGTGAAACATCATTTACACAAGTTATCTGAAAGATAAATAAACAATGCCTGTATTTGGTATTTTATATTGCGAAAGGTGGGCAAATATTACTATATAAATATATTGCGTATTTGCATTGCCAACCTCAATTAAACACATGTATCATTCAACGTTTGTGGAAGTCAAAGTCATCTGTAGTTTATGAAAGTGTTATGGTGTATTTATAGATGTGGTGAATATCTCACTGTGGTGGGAGAGAGACTATCCCGTGACATCAGTGATGCACCGTACGCTTCCATAAATGACGAGGATGCCTTATCCCTGCATGATTATGAGCGACTACTGAGGGAACAGTTCCACATCTACACGTCTCTCCACTCTTCAGCTTCCTCTACACAGGACCAACGTACCAGGGATAGCCTTATGTGAGGGTAGAGGGAACAGTTCTACATGTACACGTCTCTCCACCCTTCAGCTTCTTCTACAGAGGGCCACAGCACCAAGTGCAGCCTCGTATAAGGGAACAGTTCCACATCTACACGTCTCTCAACCCTTAAGCTTCCTCTAACAGGAACACAGTACCAGGAGCAGCCTCGTGTGCGGGAACAGTTCCATATCTACACGTCTCTCCACCCTTCAGCTTCCTCTAAAAGAGAACCACAGTACCAGGAGCAGCCTCGTGTCCGGGTACAGTTCCACATCTACACGTATCTCCACCCTTAAGCTTCCTCTATAGAGGACCACAGTACCAGGTGTAGCCTTATGAGAGGGAGAAGTTCCACATCTACACGTCTCTCCACCCTTCAGCTTCCTCTAAAAGAGAACCACGGTACCAGGTGTTGCCTAATGTGAGGGAACAGTTTCACATATACACGTCTCTCCACCCTTCAACTTCCTCTTCAGAGGGCCACAGTACAAGGTGCAGCCTTATGTGAGGAAACAGTTCCACATCTACACGTCTATCCATCCTTCAGCTTCCTCTAACAGGAACACAGTACCAGGAGCAGCCTCGTGTGCGGGAACAGTTCATTATCTACACGTCTCTCCACCCTTCAGCTTCCTCTAACAGAGAACCACAGTACCAGGAGCAGCCTCGTGTCCGGGTACAGTTCCACATCTACACGTCTCTCCACCCTTAAGCTTCCTCTATAGAGGACCACAGTACCAGGTGTAGCCTTATGAGAGGGAGAAGTTCCACATCTACACGTCTCTCCACCCTTTAGCTTCCTCTAACAGGAACACAGCACCAGGTGCAGCCTCGTGTGCGGGAACAGTTCCACATCTACACGTCTCTCCACTCTTCAGCTTCCTCTACACAGGACCAACGTACCAGGGACAGCCTTATGTGAGGGTAGAGGGAACAGTTCTACATGTACACGTCTCTCCACCCTTCAGCTGCCTCTTCAAAGGACCCCAGTACCAGGTGCAGCCTCGTATGAGGGAACAGTTCCATATCTACACGTCTCTCCACCATTCAGCTTCCTCTTCAGAGGGCCACAGTACAAGGTGCAGCCTTATGTGAGGAAACAGTTCCACATCTACACGTCTCTCCACCCTTCAGCTTCCTCTAACAGGAACACAGTACCAGGAGCAGCCTCGTGTGCGGGAACAGTTCCATATCTACACGTCTCTCCACCTTTCAGCTTCCTCTTCAAAGGACCCCAGTACCAGGTGCAGCCTCGTATGAGGGAACAGTTCCACTTCTACACGTCTCTCCACTCTTCAGCTTCCTGTAACAGAGAACCACAGTACCAGGTGCAGCCTCGTGTGAGGGAACAGTTCCACATCTACACGTCTCTCCATCCTTCAGCTTCCTCTAACAGGAACACAGTACCAGGAGCAGCCTCGTGTGCGGGAACAGTTCCACATCTACACGTCTCTCCACTCTTCAGCTTCCTCTAACAGAGAACCACAGTACCAGGAGCAGCCTCGTGTGCGGGAACAGTTCCACATCTACACGTCTCTCCACTCTTCAGCTTCCTCTAACAGAGAACCACAGTACCAGGAGCAGCCTCGTGTGCGGGAACAGTTCCACATCTACACGTCTCTCCACTCTCCAGCTTCCTGTTACAGAGGTCCACAGTACCATGTGCAGCCATAGATACCCCTCTGTGTGATACAAGGATCCTGCGAGATTCTGGCGTTTGATATTAACAATTATGGAATATGGTTGATTGTGTCGTGTGATATATCACGTCAGCGCACTTGCTTGTCCATTGCAGTACTTGCGAATGGCCGAGTTTGTGTAATGCAGTGATGAAGACTAATGATAAAGAAAAAAATGTAGTTACTGTGTGTTGTCATTGCTGATCGAGGCGGTAGCTTGTAACCTTGAAGCTTCTATCTTATATTTCCGATGCAACATTATGTAAACAACAATCATTTTGTAAAATATAAGTTTTTCAATAAATATTACATTTACCTGTTGTATTTGTTATTTCTTATTTTTGATCATCACACAGCATATTTTCATAGTTATATTTTCATTTATCTGAAACACTATATACATAGCACCTTGGCACTTGCTAATTCAAGTAAGAAGCTTAAGGGAGCGGGTGATCCTGTCGTCTAAGGCCCTGCATTTGACTGTTGCCATGGCTCTGTTATCCCTGATACGCCATGATTTTAATCCTTGGTTTGTCACCACCGTGTTCGTGGGTGTCACCAACGCAGTTAAGATATACAAAAACGTATTAAGTTGAAATGCCATGATCTTACTGAAATACATGTACAGTTTAAGTAGGTTCTTAAATTAACTACTGATTAATGTATCGCGTCATCTACGTCACATTTAATATATAACAAGATAGAGATGAACATTATTATATGAGATACTCGCTGTGTATAGTTGCATCCTTAAACCGTTCCAGGATCCGAATGTGTTGGAATTCCTATATTGCCGGATTTTGATCTTTTGATGTCACTTGCAGCACTATGAGACATGGCCGGAATGTTATGATCCCGGGTTCGTTTCCCAGACATGAGTATTATGTTTTTATGTTGATCAACACAATAACCATGATCGTGGGTCTCATCACTTCAGTCTTTTTCCACTTAATAAAATGACAGGACATGATATATACTCACTCACTCACTCACTCACTCACTCACTCACTCACTCACTCACTCACTCACTCACTCACTCACTCACTCACTCATCAATCCATCCACTCACTCATCCATCCACTCACTCATCCCATCCACTCACTCACTCACCCTTGCGCTCTTGTCAGAACAGAACACATCTGAAATCACATTCATGTCCGTCTCATATAATTAAAGTACACTTCATGTATATTGTAGATGCATACTTCAAGCAATCACTTTCGTTTCTCAAAATGACACGTGACAGAAAAATTATTGAATTGTCTCCTGTTACATGGAGTTGAGATTTTCCCTTGCTTTAACATCCACCTCGTTTTCCACCCACCCAATTATTTTTTTCTGTTGAAGATATGCACTCAACCATGGTCACCAGTACTAGATCGGTGAATTGATATCTATAGTTGCATTTGCACCTTGATTTGGAATGCGTTAGCGTAATAAGGTGTAAACACTAGAGGGCTGATACAGTGTATTCTGATAGACATGTGGACAATGCTGTTACATACACTGCAAAAAAAGAAACGAAAAAGTGATTTTCGATGTATATTTTGTTTTATATATCATATAAATAATTAACAGATAGTGATTGAATGTTTGCAAAATTGGCATGCCAGTCACAAGGATGTATCACCGTGGACAGTGAGCTATACATGTGCAATGTGCAAAGTTTGAGCGAGTTTGTAATCCATTCATTTAGTATGTGTCACGTAACAAAGATTGTAATTTCATTCCTATAGCTGAAATGACTAGGGTTCCCGTTAATATATCTCTGGACAATACTCATGGATGGAACATTATCCATAATTTGACTCCGGATGAGCTCATTGACACTTTCTTACTTTCTTACTTAGAAGCTGTATTTTATTATATTTGAGCGATTCAAAGTTGTAACCGTGGAACCAGAAAAAAAATATGAATTCTGAAAATCCCTAAATAGCATAAGGCACCAGTTCACAAACTGGTCTTTGTGTGTGCAAAGTGTCAAAAATACATACTAGTTTGAGAGATATGGTCCGGACAATCACACCGCTGTGAACAGAGTCAACTATTATCAAAACAGTAGCATGGAAGATGGCATTTCCCCTCGGCTCCCACAAAATCGAAAGCACAAGTCATCCTGGCTGTTACAGTAACTCCAGCATGATGAGAGAACTTCTGTCTAATAAGTCTGTCCTTCTCTAGCAGTAAGTAGTGTTGTGTTTATATGTCATATGTCAGAAGGAAAATCAAACTTCCGGCATCTGTCATGTACCAATGACAATTAAATGGGCTCTTAATTAAATTGATATTAGGGGCAAATAGTGAGAGGTGGGTGGATATATTTACACAAAGATAATCATTGATCATAGTAATTAATGGAATTACTTCTTCGAGAGAAAATGGTTAAAATTCTAATCAAGAGCATTTCAGAATGCCTTTACTGAAATTACTGTGTTATTATAAGTCAAGTTTTGTCTATATTTCAAGAAAATCAGAATCTAGGGTAAATTAAATCAAACAAATAATGAAATAACAATATTGTTTTCATGAGTGTGTGCCTTCATTTTGTCTCGATTCCAAATTCCTCTTTACAAGGAAAATTGTTAAAGGAATATGTAACATTAATGTCAAGTATAAACATTGCAACTTTATATAAATATTTCCTTAATGAAATATTCTCTCATTTTTTTTTCCTCATGTACTTTTGGGGAATGCAGCAGTATCATTTACAAAAGGTGAGGCCGCCAATTTTAGATGGCGGCGGTCAACTACCTTAGTTGAAGGATAACAAAACCGAGTTCCTCACTATAGGATCAAGGCATCAACTGCTGAAGATACAAAAATAGAAAATTACTACATCGAAGTCTCAGCTTCTCAGTAAAATAAAACTGAAAAAGTCTGGGAGATCCTGGCAGTCAGGCGGGTAAAGGCTTATTATCAGCTCACGACTCTCACCCGCTCTATATGCAGCCCAAACAGCGAATGGTGTGTGTGTGTGTGTGTGTGTGTGTGTGTGTGTGTGTGTGTGTGTGTGTGTGTGTGTGTTTTATAATGAATGAAATGAAACGCGTTCTTTTCCGTATACAAAGATTAGGGATTAGGGTTAAATTTGTTCTTCAGCAACCCATGTCTGTCGTAAAAGGCGACTATGCTTGTCGTAAGAGGCGACTGACGGGATCGGGTGGTCAGGCTCGCTGACTTGGTCGATGCATGTCATCGTATCCCAACTGCGTGGATCGATGTTCATGGTGTTAATCAGTAGAATGTCTGGTCCAGACTCGATTATTTACAGACAGCCGTCGTATATCTAGAATATTGCTGAGTGTGGCATTAAACCACAAACAAACAAACATGATGGTTACGTTTTATGCAGAATTACATCTTGTTAATTAGTTTTCCCGACGACAACTTATGCAAACACAGTTTTCGTATATATTTTTCAACCATATCGACCCCTGTGTACACCAGACATGGGGTTCACGCATTACGTCTATGTTGGGTATCTAACCCTTGTCTTTGGTGTGAAGAAGCAAAGCTTTAACCACTGGGCTACCCACTTCCTCAAGTGCGTGACGCTAAATCGCGTGAACTGACACATTTGCAATAATACTTCCTGATAATTAACAAACTTGCCCACGTTTCATTGACTCATGGAAACTGAAGCTGATTAGTGCGCCATTGCCGAGTACAGGACAGGCTACGTGCATCTTGGTTTTAGAGTACCCACATTGAATCGATATTTCTAGATTTCTGAAATGATCATCATTATAGTAACTGTCATACATGTATATCTAATTTAGATGAGCTGTAATCTTGAGCTTAGGTAATATGTATTTTAACTACTGCTGATACAAGACAGTATCACACAAGACTCGAAATATATGTATACATTGAACCTTGTGATAACTATAAGATACAGACTAACCAATAATTGTACAACCCCTGTATATACGAATTTTCATTTTATCATCAACGTATATATATATCAACTTAACATCATTCGATGCATTCGCGCTAAATATATTCATTCAGAAAAAGCAAGGGAAATGAAAGTGAAACAAACGACGGGTCTCACTCATCGGAGAGAGTTGTCCGGTACCACTTCTCATAGCACATTCAATATGCTAAACAATCCCTCGAACAGCTTTAAACCTGACCCCTGACATCATGGAACAATTCTATTGACATCTGGTAAACATGCACATGTACAATGATATTAAAGAACATTAGCCAGATTTAACGTTTACCGTATGACTCTAATTGTTGTTAGCACTAAAAGGAAAATGACTTTAGACTTTAAACACCATTTCAGCTCAACTTAATCCTATAATGTAACCAAATACTGCAGACGCGCCTCTTCTTGAAGGTATGTTAAGGTATCATTACAATAAAGTGGCTATTGAGGAACTGATACTTGTATAATATAAATAATTATTAATAAAAGTAACAAATGCCTTTCCATAATCATAATAAATCTCCATATCACGGATGTGTTTATGAATCACTAAAAAACCGTGATGATACCGGTAATCGCGAAAGGATGAGGGTAACCTGCCACACCAGTAGCACCCATGCAAACACATGCAAAGGCAAATCAATTGTTCACGTGAACAACGACCACGGAATCACAAAAAATAACAAGTCCCAGTAATGACATATCAGTAAAGTGTCAGTTCAACAAATGAAGTATGAACTTCGACAAGTAGCTAGTTACATGCCACGACATTCTTTTAAGTTCTTACGTTCCCATAAGACATTCACAGAGTTGAGTCATCAACTTCTTGCTGTGAATAATGTTATGTGGCAGTAGAAGTTGTTGTAAACTTACTTGTAGAACGAGGGTTGAATGATACGTTTGAGCCTCACATAGAAGGAATTGCGTAATAATGAAATCCTTTGTTGTGGACATTACCGGATATCACATAGGAAAACAAAAAACTTGAGTGACCTCAACAAATTGTTGACAAGTCAGTAAAATCAGCAAGGTTCTCTGACCTTTAGAAGGTGGACATGTGGAATGTGAGCAGCGATTTCTTATGAATATGGAAAGGGTTTTGTCGGTTTATTTATCTGATATGGAATTTGTTTTAATTACCTCTAGGCTACATCACTTTCGGATAATACAGTTTTCATACGCGTTCGTAGTGCGTCTGCATTACTGGTGGTTTGTTGAGAATCCGGAGGAGAGTAGACGTTCCACAGTACAGTTGCCCTGTGTTACCGAGGCCCCCATTCGAAAGACCAGCTGATG